GACAGCTGTTGTGACTAAATGAGCACGACGAGGAGAAGAATGGAAACCTTATAATGTAAAATATTTGAGTGGAAAGTAACTTATATGTATCTCGTTAGGCTACACGTTTACATTCTGTCGATCCACCCAGCGTCGACTTGTTTCACATGCATGCTCACAAAGTAGAATGAAAGCCTTAAATTATGATAAAGAAAAATTTCGACCATCTGATAACCTCTTCGAAATTTGATGCACTTCGGATGCAAATGTAAATTTAAACTTACAATACGCTCATGACAATAATTTTAAGTACGATATTAAGCTGTAGCATAGCTGTGAAATGCTATATATTTCATTTTAGCAGCGTGCACATGTACTATTTTATTCGCTCACATACCTCTCGGTAATATTGATTTTGGGAAGCCACGAGGGTTTAACACCATGGGAACACACGCAGATGACCATGTCGCGTCATCCATCACGCGGGTGAACAAGTAACGCGTAGAAATGTTAAGCAGAGCGATTCTTTGGCAAAAGATCCAACAGTCTCCTCCACATTGTGCAGCAAAACAGGTCGGGTGCTCTATCCAGGTGTCTGCTTAAGGCACCTGTGGGCAGCGCAGGAAACAGGAACGAGGAATGTAACTCATAAGGTCGTGGGTTGAAATTACAAGGCAAACGGTAAATGATTCTTTGCAACTCGGATGTCTGCTATTTGAATTACCGTAGGCGGCTGCGTTATTTTTCTTTTTGAAGAATTTCATACAGGATTTTGATCGCACCTGTTTATTTTCCACTTCATGAAGTAATATCAAAAATACTACACGAGTTTTTAATCCGAGAGTGACAGTACGTTTCAGCAAGTTACAAACGGAATAATAGAAGCCTTAATTATAACCATTCTATATAGCTTATGTCCAGTTTTTCAGTGCAAACTCGACCCATCTTCAGGACAGCGATGAGTTCTACACGAGTAATTTTTGGGCGAATCGGTAGAACCTGTAAGATTGATCGTGAAGCGTTTGGTCGTTGGTCTGAAACTGCTACATGATATTTTGGTCGTTGTGTCGCTGACGTCTGCACGAAGGTTGCAATTCATTCAGATGTTTGCGCTGATCAGCAAAGCTACCTTAATCTTACGGGAAAGATACTGCTTTTCCCGAGTAACCCCGTTCATCTTCTCCTACAATGTCGTGTGATGACGTACCATGGCATGTTGTAAGATAGCGAAATTTAGCATATTCTGCCCTGATAACCCTGAAACATATTGGTCCATCTCCATCTTCCGCATCAACTTCCTTTGAAATGATGAGATTTTTCTTGTGCTCCGTCATCCTCTCCTCGAGAATGTTACCCGTTTCGCTGATGTGCGCTGAATCACGTGAGTTCGGGAATCGGCATATCCCATCTTACTTCTACTTCTCTGGTCTTCAGGTGATTGAGACGAGTGCCAAGTGTTGCACCAGGTTTAAACACAATGTTCAGACAGCCCTTAGAGGCATTAAGTGGTAACTTTTCGCTCAGCTTACCAACGTACTTCAAGGTGATGTAGATTTTACCCTTGGATGAGGTTTGCCAGACCTTCATTTAGCACTTTCAGCGGATAACCGCTTTCTTTGCAAAGTTAGCCTGATGTGATTCAGCTCTTCCCAGCGATCATCTTCCGTGACGCAATCTTTCTGTCCTCTTCAGAGATTGAAGTTGCATATTGACAGCACCTTTCTTAATGCTTTCTGGATGGTAAGAACAGCAATGCAGATACCGATCTGTATATGCCTTCTTGAAATACATTGTTGTCCAATATCACTGCTACCGGCGTTCCCCCCCAGCACATCCAGAAAAAGTATATCATTCTCCTCCTTCTCAACATTGAACAAAATGATTGCTGAGGAGAAACTGCTCAGATGTTTCAAAAAGTTTCGTCCCTATTTTTCAGAGAGCAAAAATGTCAACTATATACTTTTTGAAGAAAATTAGACATATCTTCTTGCTCACAGTGGTGAAGGCCAGCCGTTCCGTCAGCAAATCAGCCAGAGCAGGAACAAAGGAAAGCCGAATGAGATTGCTTTATATTGGCCATATAACCGACAACTGAATTCGAGGTAATCCAATCAAATAAGGCATATTCTAAGCAGCTTTATGGAATTAATAGAGAAAGCTGCCGTATTCTTCGGGATAGCGTATCTCATCAATTGTCGTTCGACGAAGTCTATTAAAAAATTTACGAG